CCGGATCGAGAAGTGTTTATTCCGTCCCAGTTTCTCCTTAAAGGTCTTTGGCCCGTTTTGATGTGGCCAGAAATTCCGTAGCTGTCACGCTCATGCTCTGAGTGTCTTCGCCTGCCGTGTTCTCCATCCATCTGACAGAAGAATCACTTCGTGCCCACAGGCGTTCTCACCATACCTGTGGATCGAGTTTCTTTTGTCCTCTTAGATTGTGGTGCAGTTGGTTACGATTGCGGTCGTGGTTAACTTACGGAAGTTCAGGGTTCGACTACATGTATCCGTCAGATTTTTACTTTTTGTTCTGTGTACTCTGTTGCGAGATCCTACAGTTTATTATGGGGAAATAGTTATTTAGAAATAAAGGGAAGAGGGGGTCCATTTAATAATAACTCTCATGTTGTCTTGTATGGATTCAACATAAAACAAGCGCCACTCCCCCCCCCCAAGTAACATTAAAAGCAAATTTACAGATTTGATTGTCAGACTGTCTCTAGGTTACTTGGAAACAGTACTAGGGAAAAAAGAAAGCAACAATAATTTGTGAGACTCTAATGCGATGTAAGACAAACGACAATCTAAAAAACGTTTGAAAAAAAAAAAGACTACAGCTTTATGGAAACGTTTTTAAAGATACCTCTTCGTCCATTTTGGAAAAATAAATAAATACACTGCTGATACAACAAGGCATCAGACAATAATTCACAAGAAGTATAGTTAGGCTATCGTTTTTATCCTTTGGACAGATTTCAGACAAAAGACTGCCCCGCATTAAAAAAGAAAGACGAAACTATTCTTTGCTTCATTTGAATAGAATAGTGATAGGCTTGTGTGAACGTTAGACACCTTAAAAAAACGAGACCACGCACGTTAACCGTATTAGTATTAGCTTTATAGCTAAATTCCCCATCCAAACTGCGGCCTCCTTGCAGAGACGTCCGCCTAGAGCGAGAAATATTTGTCCAGGTCGCAACCGAGGACAGGAGAAGGAAGGGGGCGACAGCGGGATGGGTGATGCTCAGTGGTTTTTCCTTTTTCGTATTTTGTTTTAATTTGGACCCGGCCCTTGTACCGAGTCACGTTATGAGGGGGTGTGTTGATTTTAAGTTGGTCAGCCACTTAAGCTTACGCATTCCTAGTTTGTTTTTCTACGCAGCAATTTCAAATTTAGAGAGATGAATTTTCCTTGTGACAACATCATCATCATCATCATCTCTGCTTCAGTATTAGATTTCGGTGTTTGTAGTTGTATAAAGACATCAATCTAGTTCGTCTATAGGCTACTTCTGTGTTAAGCATTATGTTTTCTACAGTGGTCTAAACGTCAAGTCTACTGAAGCAGATGTCAACGTAAGTAGTAGTAAGGAAGAATAATGTGTGTGGATAGTCCGTGGTATGGTGATATTCTCAAGGATACATTATTTTTACATCGTCATAATTAGTTCATGATCTAACAGCTATCGGAGGATGACCTTTTCGACTTATAAAAGGAAATACGGGTAGAATCCAATTGGCCAAAGGCCGCGTAGTATTATCGAAGTGCAAATTCTAATAATAGTAGAAATAAAATTTGTTATCATTTAAATAAAGTGGATACTATTGTTAATATGATCTCTGTTAAGTCGCGTGAAGATCAGAGTGCAGATTCATCTATTTGGTTTCACATATTGCGTATAGAAAAAAACCCCGTTAAACACAAGGATGAAAACTGTTTTGTGCGGGGGCTCTCGTAGCCTAGAGGTTAAGGTGTTGGCCTCTCATTCAAAGGTCCCGGGTTCGAATACGGGTAGCGATCGAAAAATCTTCTTCTCTAAAATTGTCTCCTGTCATCTCCTTTGCAGCTCTCTAGAAATATTCTTTGTTTTCGTCTCCTTTTTCGGCTCCCACCCCCTCACCTTCTTTGCCCCCTCCTCTGGGCTCCTGACTCTTTCTGCAGTCGTTCTACTGCTACTACTTGGCGTCTTCTTACTGCTGTCTTTCAGCCATACCCCGATCTTCTGGTAGGAAAGATCTACACCTAGCCTTCTCGGACATTGAGGGTGAAAAATCTCGAAGGGCTCGTGTGCAAGTTGCGGACGTTAAAGATCACTCGTCGGTGGTCTAAAATCGATAAGAGTAGGCTTCGGCCGCCACCCGGGCAAAATTCAAAATTTCCTACAAACTGAAAAAGTTTGATGTGTTCTGCGAGCTCATAATATGACCTTATGCCGGTGCGAGCGCCGTAAAACACTTACCAAAAACAGAAAAAACCCACAAAAAAACAAAACTATTTTGTTTGAAGCGAAAACATTTTTTCAGTGGCACGACACTTGTCGAAACTAGTAGATAACTGACTGCCCCTACAACTAGACCGCTGGGTCTTTCTATATGCCATGTTATTATTAAGATCTTTTAAATAACAGCACGTTCTGCCGGTTGTTGATTAGGATCATGATATCTTTTTAAAAGTAGCAGACGAAGACGAAACCCCCTTTTCAATTTTCATTGCCGTCGTTTTAACGCCCCTGTCTACAAAATTTAGATCATAGATTAGACGTCAGGCTCGACCTTGCCGGTCAAGGCCAACCCTGGCTGAAAAAGACACAAATGTCCCAGAGGAAAGACCGAGATACTCAATAAATATCCCCCCCTCACGAAAATCGAACTTAGGTCTTCTGCGGGCGACGGCAAAGCACCCAACCGCTACACCACAGACGCTGGTCTCCCAGTCCGGAAGGTCCGGGTATGTGGACCGTGACAAGGGTCAGGGTTATTCAACAACACCGTCAGTGAAACAGCAAGGACAGGCTGTGTGCGGAGTATGCTAATCGTCGATTGTGGAGTGTCGGCGGACAGTGTGTGGACACCTTCCTAAGTGAATGAGTGTACAACCATAGCTGTGTAAACGTGTGTGTTAAACGTACGGAGAATAATAATAATATTGTTGTGTGGCTGGGCCAGAGTACGAGGGGACAGACATCAAGTCGAAAGTCAAAAACCTTTGAGGTAACATATTGTTTTCTTGTTTCGCATGATGTAAAGATGCTCACAAATCCAAACTCTTTTGGCTTTTTCGTAGCCACGTATTAATTTGAGTCTCTACTCAAGGAGTTTTGTGTCGCTCTCACCGCCTCTTAGCGTCTTTCATATCTGTCCTCTTCTTCTTTAGACACACACACACACACACACACACATACACACACACACACACACACACACACATACACATACACATACACATACACATACACACACCCATACACACACACACACACACACACACACGCGCATTGTCTTTCTCTTTCTTAGCTTTAAATCCCCTCTCCCCTTTTCACTCTCTCTCCCTTCTTCCGTCTCTCTTTCCTGTCATTGACCTCGAAGCCACCCATCTCTCTCTCTCTCTCTCTCTCTCTCTCTCTCTCTCTCTCTCTCTCTCTCTCTCTCTCGGACTCTCTCCTTTTCTCTTTCTGTCTCTCTTTCCAATTTATGTCATTTTCTGTCATCATTCCTCCGAATAGCTCCCTGGCACTGCCGTCTTCCCTTTCTCGCTGTTCCCGCACCCTCCCTCACTGCCGTCTGTTCTCCCGTCTCTCTCTCTCTCTCTCTCTCTCTCTCTCTCTCTCTCTCTCTCTCTCTCTCTCTCTCTCTCTCATCTTCTTTCTGTCTCGTGCTTCTTTTTTCCTTTCTCTAAGTCTCTCCTTTCTTCACCTATCAAGTGGTATCTGTGTCTTCTTTCCTATCCCCTTTCTGCCGCCCACTTCCCCTTCTCATTCGTCCTTCTTCTCTCTATTTTACTTCTCTTTCCTTTCCTCTTCTCCTTACCCCTTTTGTTGGTATTATTTGTTATTTGATGTTCTTTTCACCGATAATTTGGTTTGGTTCTTGGAAGGTAACCTATCAATCTTTATAAACTATTACGTTCTTAAAATTTGAAATCTGAAAGTATGGAGAATTGAAACTATAATGATAGAAGGAAATACATTCAGCAAAAAAGTTCCGAAACAGGTAAACGAGCGACGAAACAAAAGGAGACAGGGGCTCTCGTGGCCTAGAGGTAAAGGTGTTCGACTCTCTTTCAATAGGTCTTGGGTTAGAATCGGGATAGCGACGGAAATCTTTCTTCTCTAAAGTCACCTCCTTTCCTGCTCTCTAGCAAGGTTCTGTCGTCTGCTTTCGCCCCTACTTTCTGCTCCCACCCCCTCACCTCCTTTGCCTACCTTTGCCTACTCCTCTGGGCTCCTGACTTTTTCTGCAGCCTTTCCAATGCTACTCCCTGACCCCTTCTTACTGCTGTCTTTCAGCCACACACCTGATCTTGTGGTAGAAAATATCTACACCTAGTTGTCTCGGACAAGGGCGAAAAATCTCGGAGGTCCCGTTTGCAAGTTGGTAGTCCAAAATCCATAAGAGTAGGCTTCGGCCGCCACTGGTGCAAAATTCAAAATTAGCCTCCAACGGAAAATGTTTAAAGTGTCCAGCGCGCTCATATGACCGTATTATGCAGTTCCGAAGGCCATAAAACACTTACCAAAGGAGACAGGAGTAGACAGCTAGATAGATAGATAGATAGATAGATAGATAGATAGATAGATAGATAGACAACCAGATAGACACACACATACACCCCCCACACACATATTACTTATGTTTACATATTATTATATACAGGGGCGAAGGCTGACTTGTTTGACTGGGTAATCAAAGTGACACTGGACCAGATATGGCCTGGGGATATCGCACAAGAACCTTGCTCGAGGCGGCGACTCAGAGTTGTGAATGAAAACAAATCCGGAATTCATTATTGTATGTTCAACCGCCAAAATAATCGGGAAAGTATCTAATTAAACATCAATTCCAATTAAAATTAAATTTAACTTTAAATGTGAATACACAAACACAAAGCAAAGAAGCAGAG